CAGCTAAAATATTGTAATGGATCTAACAAAGTTAAATATAACATTTTTTGGAAGCCCGTACAGATTGTTTCTAGTTATTTGGTGTTACAAAGTATTAAAAAAATGATTATTCTGTTTTTAATTAAGAACAAAAGCTTTTAGTCACTAAAATCCGCCCGACAGTTTCCAGAATCCTGCGTACGGGGACACCGCAGTCTCGGTTTCTTATGTTATCGCAATGGGGAAAAGGTGAAATTTTAAATGAGTCAGTATCGTGTTAGGAAGTACGGATGCTTTCAAAACTAAATGCCTTTCAATTCAAATCCCAGAATATCCTTTCGCGGAAATAGCCCTTCTCAGCCTGTCGGCCCATTCCCTAACGCTACAAGTCTGAACAGTGAGCGTCTCATGCGTTGCTCACGTATCGCGAGAAAAAGGACGGTGTCATATACTCGTAGTCAAATGAACTTTTCTTATGCATAGAGCATTTGAAACCTCACACCAAACGCCTCCTTTCCTTGTCTTCTACTGCTGCCTTTTTCTCATACCTACCCAATGACCGTTCCCTCGACGTTCCTTATCGACTGCCTCACATTCAACGGCCATATCCCACCCAAGATTCATCCCACCTACGCTGAAAACCAATCGGAGGCACTTTCAATCGTCCCTTGAATAAAATTGCTACCTACACGCATTTGGAGGAGAACGAGGCCCAGAAAAGGCATGCATAAAACGATCGGTTTTGGCCCCCATGGAATAAGCCAGCAGGCCTAACATCATATTGATTGAAGAACATTTTCGAGGACATGATATCTATTAGATATTATTTTGCAAAGGTATCGTAAACATAACGTCCGCGTATCGCAGCTCTGAATCTGCTGGTGTCAGTCCCATGCAGCAGCCACCAGACCACCGCCCCGCCGCCTACCGTTCGCTGATCATACAGGCCGGCTGTCCCAGTGTCTCATCAAACGATCACAGCTGACAGTATTTATGAAATGCCAAACAAAAACAGACACGCAAAATTGTGGATCATGCCAGCTTTTTCAGTCATGCGCGTGGAGATATATCGGTAGTTTTCCTATCACAGATCACACTGAACAGAGCAAAATCGTAGACACGCAGCAATAAATAATGCATTATCAAGTACACCGTCACCGATCGATGCATCGTGGATTACACCGAATAATACATCACTGCTTTAACGTTCCCCCAGGTGGGTGGGGGCGTTTTTGGCCACACCTGACAATTTTGTGCTTGCATAAATAAAACGACACGAAACTTAGTATAGCTTATGTATAATGCATCGATTCGCATCATTTGTGAAAAAAATGTAACCCCATGTCACCTAAGGTCAGGTCAGGTCACCATGACGTAGAAGTTTGAAACTCGAGCTATTGCATGAGAGAATCAGTACCAACTACCAACATCTTGAGTATCTTTAATTTTGATATCGGTGACCGAGGGTCAGGTCAACTTTGCGACGTCTCCAGTTTCAGTCAGTATGAGGAACTCGAAATGCTCTGCTTTTGAAACAAAAACACTCAAACGTCGGGATCTATCGTATGCTCCTGAGGTCATCTCAGGTCATGTAACGTCTCCAACAGTTTATTTTTGTACATTGATTTTAGATGGAACGTGGCCAGAGCGCTAAAAACATCATAATCACAGGCGGCGGAACGGGGAGGGCACCGGGGCACCGTGCCCCCTTTGATTTTGACATTTTAAGATTAGCCCTATGGGCGTTGCATGGGAAGAATGGGACCAAAAGTCGGCAATGCCCCCTTAATTGAAGGTGTTCCGCCGCTACTGATGTTAATCACAATCTCAATGTAACGAATCGACTGACATGCAATATGGCATTTTCTGCGACTTTGACCTGAGGTCAAATTTATTAAGTTGACCTTGTTAGGTCAACAAGACGAGAGAAACGCAGTGCCGGTAAAATCAACGTAATAAAAGGTTGGTATCAAAAGTTTTAAAAGATAAGACGATTTCCGAAGCACGCCGATTGTTCAGTTTTTGCCATTTGGAGGCTTAACCCTAGTTGACCTTAGCTCAAATCTGAGAACCTGAAAGATTTTCGAAAGAGCTATCGAATTCGCTTTTCCGCGGCGCTGTAGCTTCTTTGGTTCCCGAGTTATGAACCAATTTGTGAAGTTGTCAAAATCTAAAGCCAGAATTCGTCATCATTTTACTTTTGGTGACCTCCAGTGACCTCAGCAATGACCTGATCGAAAATGACCTGTATGATTCTGAAGGAAAATAGCGAGCTATATATTGATTTTACTGCGTCTTTCCAACTTTGTTACATTCCAAGATAACCTGGTGTGGCCGAATACGCCTCCCCTCCCCCCTCCCACCCCCCCCCCCCCCCCCCCCACCAAGTTGGCTGAGGGCCACCCGGGCGCGGGTTAATAACATGGCGCAACAGGTTTTGTTATCAACTTGTCCTTTTCACACATAGGCGACACCAAGATATCACAGCCAACGCCTATCACCAACCTGGTGGTGGGCTTTGGCCAGCGATCGCCGATCGGGGCCAACGCGGGCTCTTACTCGTCCACGATCAGCACGAATGATGAATTACAGCTGCTCCAGACCACCACTTCAATCCAGCGTGTAATCCCCAGTCCACATCAGAACCACTAGTGAAACTCTACTGAGTGGGCCAACTGCACTGCATCTTGACCTCCTTTGCAGCTCTGGCTTTTCAGAATTTGAACAGCCTTCTCTTCCCCACCCTTCTGTACTGATGAATGATGATCCTTTGAAAACCTGGAAAAAAAGACAGTACAGTGAGATGAAACTGTTTTGCTATGGGTCTGTTCCAGTCGCACTTCCTAACACATCTTAACTCCACCAAGAGCAAGATAGAGGAGGTTGGAGCAGGGCCCTCCTTGGCGTTTTAGGGGCGAAAGCTGCCACTGGAACAGGGAAGCAATCTTGGAGGAGTTAAGAGGTGTTAGGAAGTGCGACTGGAACAGACCCTATGACAATGTCTGTGCATAGAACGAGCAGATGGTAGAAGTGGTCAATTGGTGAGTGGAACAAATGCAAATGTCAGGAAAGAAGTCATATTTTGTGATAGACATGATGCAGATGTTGGCCAAGCTGACAAGGCAGATATAAGTACCAGCTTGTTACACTATAACTCATCATATTTTCATGTTTAACAGAGGGAATATAATGTAAAAAAGCCTTAGCCAGATGAAAGTAGATAATATAAGGTCTATAGAAAAATGTTGATGCAAGTAATGTAGGATTTGTGGTTCTTAAAGGCTAGGTAAATGTATTCCCTGTTCAACAATTCTTCAGCATTGACATTGATGTCAATGTACATGCATCAACATACCTGTAGTGAAGTGATTCTGGGCTGCTTTCCTGAGCAGTTGATGGCCACGACTGGAATCTTAAAACACAGCTAATTTTACCATTTTGTTAACTATGACTGAGGATCTTCTGTGCTGAAAAAGAGATAGACAATAGACATCAGCTGATAGACATTGTACAACTCATTTGTGAAACAAGATCAATTCCATTTAGGGGTAGGTCTTAAAGGAAACAGTCCACTTTCCTGAAATCAGTATTTTGCTATTGATTTATGATTTTTTATGCTCAAAATAATCATGAAATAAAATAAAACCTTTTTGTAAAAACAATTATTTTCTTTATTTTAATATAGGGCGAACTATATTCTATGTAAAATAATGTTTGACGCGGAAGCTTATTACGCATTGACCAATCATATTGCGTAGCTCAAACCTACGAATACTGCATTGGCTGTAAGCAGCACGCTGATTGGCTGACGATGACGTGGCTGCATTCCTGTGCAAGGCACGCATTCCTCTACAAGGCACTCTTTTCGGAACGAGAAATGGAATTTCTTCGTCTAGGGTGATCGTTGAGCCGTAAAAGCTCCTGATTTGTGCTAGTCTCAGCTCAAGCTACGAAACTGCTATTCCAGCTCAAAACCCCATGTTAAAAGTGAACTATTTCCTTTAATATAATGATGACATGAATGAATTTCAGTTTTCACTTTTCACCAGTCCAGGTACCTAGTGACAAAATGAAATATTGTAGGAGGAATCAATGATAATGTTTCTGGTAGAAAATGCAGGCATTTTATAATTCAGTTGAAGCTTAAGATGGAGGATTTTTGGAAAATATTTGCCACAAATAACATTGGAATCTCAGAAACACAAATCAAATCTTATTTGATGTAAAAAACAAATCAAACTGTTACCATTGAACACCAAGCAGCATGCTGAGTAGTCATTGACTTAGACATATGCATGTTACACATAGCTACAGTACTTTGAAATAGCTTTTATAAAATGTATGCACTCATGTAATCTTAACATGTAAATATTTCAGCAACTTGTTTTACACTAAACCTGCTAAGCCAAGAAAAAATATAAATATGAGAAGCCCAAAGCAAGTTACTGAGAACATAAACAAAGGTAATGTTACAACAAAACTGAGTCAAAACACTCAAAACTAAGTGTTTCAATGAGCGCAAGTTTGATGCGTGTCACAGAAGCAGCTGTCCACTGTAAAGCAGAGTGGGCACAGCATGGTGAAAGCAGGAAGTGGTGCACAAAACTGGATTAAGAACTAAGAAGAGTGCCTGACTAACTGTGTCTGTATCCCTTTACATGTAGGTTAAGGTATTTACAAAATTTGAGCACAACCAGCCAAAATTTAACTGGGAAGGAGGCCATGCCCACTCACACATGACAGGTGTGCAAAAAAACATGCCTGTAATACCTTATGCCTAGATACATAACGATGAAAATGTGTTGTGTCTGTGTGGTTAGTAGCACGACGTGACATGACTATTATCAATACCTGACAGTACAATTATCATGATATTATCATTATTGCAATTGTAATAAAAATGGTAAATTGAACTTTTTTTCTCACTTTATATGGCCAAAATACCTGAGATTTTTTATATCAAGTTTGCGTACTCCAAAATCGTAATTATTCTGCTTCCTCCATTACCTAAAAAGTTTGCGCAAGACTATTTAGTATCCATTAGATGTAGGGACGATCATGACCACTTGACTAAAAATGGTTCACTTGGTTCTTACAAGCCTGTTAACTCACTACAAAAGGGGAGGGGGGCACTGCAAAAGGGCGTCGAAATCGCCACATTTGTCTCAAGATGTTTAATGCATAATAATAGGCACCAAAATATCGTCGTATTAGTTTGCAGGGTCACCAAAGAAAAAGGCAGCGTTATTTATCAAATATCAAAGCAAATTGGCAAGATCTAGCACAACGAAACACATAATTCAACACCTAACGAGGCCGGCCGAGCCCCCGACACCACCATGGCGACCGCTCAAGTCCAACTGGCCGGCAACTGGCCAATCAGGGGGCTTGTTTGTCATTTCTGGGTGGGATTAAAAAACATGCTGTCTGACGATCGCAATCGTCATTTTCCTCCTCCCCTCCTACTGAAGCAGCTTCAAAATGCGCAAAATGCCATAAAAGTCCACGTCTGTCAATTCAGCAGCAACGAATATCAGCCTCACAGCAGCATATTTCGGGGTCTTTCGATTTGGCTGAAAATCGGTATCCAGGGCCTCCTCGATGCGCTGATTCCGAAAATAAGCCTCTTTGGGGTGGTATTTTGCACCGTTAACGAGTTAACGACCAATTAACATTTTAACGGGAAACGGCGGGGTCTTTCGATTTGGCTGAAAATCGGTGTACGGGCCCTCCTCGATGCGCTGATTCCGAAAATGTACCTCTTTGGGGTGGTATTTTGCACCGTTAACGAGTTAACGGCCAATTAACATTTTAACGGGAAACGGCGGGGTCTTTCGATTTGGCTGAAAATCGGTATACAGGGCCTTCTCGATGCGCTGATTCCGAAAATGTACCTCTTTGGGGGTGGTATTTTGCACCGTTAACGACTTAACCGTTAACGACCAATTAACATTTTAACGGGAAACGGCGGGGTCTTTCGATTTGGCAGAAAATCGGCATACAGGACCTCCTCGATGCGCTGATTCCGAAAATGTACCTCTTTGGGGTGGTATTTTGCACTGTTAACGAGTTAACGACCAATTAATTAACATTTTAACGGGAAACGGCGGGGCCTTTCGATTTGGCTGAAAATCGGTACACAGGGCCTCCTCGATGCGTTGATTCCGAAAATGTACCTCTTTGGGGTGGTATTTTGCACCGTTAACGAGTTAACGGCCAATTAACATTTTAACGGGAAACAGCGGGGTCTTTCGATTTGGCTGAAAATCGGTGTACAGGGCCTTCTCGATGCGCTGATTCCGAAAATGTACCTCTTTGGGGTGGTATTTTGCACCGTTAACGAGTTAACGATCCGTTAACATTTCAGCAGCATATATCGATTTCAGCAGCAAATTTTCGGGGTCTTTCGATTTGGCTTAAAATCGGTGTACAGGGTCTCCTCGATGCGCTGATTCCGAAAAGGTACCTCTTTGGGGTGGTATTTTGCACCGTTAACGAGTTAACGACCAATTAACATTTTAACGGGAAACGGCGGGGTCTTTCGAATTGGCTGAAAATCGGTACACAGGGCCTCCTCGATGGGCTGATTCCGAAAATGTCCCTCTTAGGGGTGGTATTTTGCACCGTTAACGAGTTAACGACCAATTACTATTTTAACGGGAAACGGCGGGGTCTTTCGATTTGGCTGAAAATCGGTATACGGGGCCTCCTCGATGCGCTGATTCCGAAAATGTGCCTCTTTGGGGTGGCGTTTTGCACCGTTAACGAGTTAACGGCCAATTAACATTTTAACGGGAAACGGCGGGGTCTTTCGATTTGACTGAAAATCGGTATACAGGGCCTTCTCGATGCGTTGATTCCGAAAATTGAGCTCTTTGGAGTGGTATTTTGCACCGTTAACGAGTTAACGGCCAATTAACATTTTAACCCGCGCCCCACTGGGGGGGCTATTTATAGCCCCCCCTCCCGTTTTTCTGCAATAACTTCCAAACCGTTTGACGTATCGACGCCAAACTTTCAGTACCTTCGGCTGCATCAATTTGACACCTTGTGTCAAAATTTGAACTTCGTACCTACCATAGGTCGGCCGGAAATGACGTCAGAGTGACGTCATGTTCGGCCGATTTCGACGCAAAACATTGAACCACGGCAATCGCTCCCAAGAGCTCAGTTTTTAAGCTAGATCCAATTTCATTGCATGGGAGGACTCAGAATAGACTTCGTTATCAAACTGCTATCTCGGATTTCCTAAATTTTGAAAATTTCGAAAACTTTACATAATAAAATTCAAAATTTATATTTTTACATTTTTTTCAAACATTTTTTGACTTTTCGAAAAAAACTGGAATATATGTGATAGAACCCATTATTATGACTAACTCTAGCAAGTTTTAGCTAAATATCTTCAAAAATGGCCAAGTTATACGCATTATTGCAAAAAATTAACAATTATTAATTTTTCAAATCAATTTTTCAGCACGAATTTGACATCTTACGCCAATAAAAATAGCACCATCGTGTTCCTGAGCTCAAACTGCATCCAATAGACACCTTTTTTGTTGAAAAATTTTTACTTCAAAATTTGACCTTTTTTGACCTGAAAGTGACCTGACCTAAGCTAAATTTGACTCAAAATGACCTCGAATGACACAGACGACATCAAATTCGAAATTTTTGGCCTAAATGGACCATAAAACATGTGTCACGTGACCGACGGATGATATAATATTTTCGTGACCTGTGATGACCTGACCTTGACCTGAAAATCAAAGTACAAGTTTGGTACCCTCAGAGTATCTAGAGCATCTGTTCACGAGTGTGTGAACCAAAAATGAGCCTGATCTGACTTCCAAGACGGCGGCCAGAGCCCAAAACGTGAAGAAGCCAAAATGCTAATAATTTTTACTTTGACCTGACCTGTGACGTCATCGGTGACCTCGAGGTCAATGAAATTAGGTTTCGCTCGACAGTTTTTCCGGGGCTATCAGACGCCGTTTGAATTTTGACGATCGGCCCAGTAGTTTCGGAGTTAGGAGGAAGGCTATGAATAGCCCCCCCCCCCCCCCCCCAGTAGGGCGTGTTATACGCAGACCCCAGTGGGGCGCGGGTTAACGGGAAACGGCGGGGTCTTTCGATTTGGCTGAAAATCGGTGTACAACTGTACAGGGCCTTCTCGATGCGTTGATTCCGAAAATGTACAGCCCTCTGCAAACTGCGTGGTAGGTATTCTTTTTTGGACAAAACCGAGAATAACGCGAATGCCATGCTATCGATCACTCAGAAATCGTAACAGCAAGACGCGCGAGACTCCGAACCCTAGATTGGCATTATCATCGAATTCATTTTCCATCCAGTTTGGCAACAAAACCGAAAAGTGTATATTTGCCCCCAAAACAAACTTTTGCATTTTGTTGCCACACAAGGCGTATACTTTGTTTAGTGATAGACCCAATCGAAGGAGTGGAGCATGGCGCATCTATTTGCAGTGAGTTCCGACCGACTGATAACATAGCTTTTGAGTTATCACCAGTTTTGTCGAAAAAAGAATACCTACCACGCAGTCTGCCGAGGGCTGTACCTCTTTGGGTGGTATTTTGCACCGTTAACGAGTTAACGACTAATTAACATTTTAACGGTAAACGGCGGGGTCTTTCGATTTGGCTGAAAATCAGTATACAGGGCCTCCTCGATGCGCTGATTCCGAAAATGTACCTCTTTGGGGTGGTATTTTGCACCGTTAACGATTTAACGACCAATTAACGTTTTAACGGGAAACGGCGGGGTCTTTCGATTTGGCTGAAAACCGGAATACAGGGCCTCCTCGATGCGCTGATTTCGAAAACGTGCCTCTTTATGATGGTATTTTGCACCGTTAACGAGTTAACGATCCGTTAACATTTCAGCAGCATATATCGATTTCAGCAGCAAATTTTCGGGGTCTTTCGATTTAGCTTAAAATCGGTGTACAGGGTCTCCTCGATGCGCTGATTCCGAAAAGGTACCTCTTTGGGGTGGTATTTTGCATCGTTAACGAGTTAACGGCTAATTAACATTTCAACGGGAAACGGCGGGGTCTTTCGATTTGGCTGAAAATCAGTATACAGGGCCTCCTCGATGCGCTGATTCCGAAAATGTACCTCTTTGGGGTGGTATTTTGCACCGTTAACGAGTTAACGACCAATCAACAACGACCAATAAACACCAATTAACGTTAACTCGTTAACGGTTCAAAATCCCACCCCAAAGAGGTACATTTTCGGAATCAGCGCATCGAGGAGGCCATGTATACTGATTTTCAGCCAAATCGAAAGACCCCGCCGTTTCCCGTTAAAATGTTAATTGGTCGTTAACTCGTTAACGGTGCAAAATACCACCCCAAAGAGGCACCTTTTCGGAATCAGCGCATCGAGGAGACCCTGTACACCGATTTTAAACCAAATCAAAAGACCCCAAAAATTTGCTGCTGAAATCGATAAATGCTGCTGAAATGTTAACTCGTTAACGGTGCAAAATACCATCCCAAAGAGGTACATTTTCGGAATCAGTGCATCAAGGAGGCTCTGTACATTGATTTTCAGCCAAATCGAAAGACCCCTCCGTTTCCCGTTAAAATGTTGCAAAATACCACCCCAAAGAGATACATTTTCGGAATCAGCGCATCGAGGAGGCCTTGTATACTGATTTTCAGCCAAATCGAAAGACCTCGCCGTTTCCCGTTAAAATGTTAATTGGTCGTTAACTCGTTAACGGTGCAAAACACCACCCCAAAGAGGTACATTTTCGGAATCAGCGCATCGGGGAGACCCTGTACACCGATTTTAAGCCAAATCGAAAGACCCCGAAAATTTGCTGCTGAAATCGATCATATGCTGCTGAAATGCTAACGGATCGTTAACTCGTTAACGGTGCAAAATACCACCCCAAAGAGGTACATTTTCGAAATCAGCGCATCGAGGAGGCCCTGTATACCGGTTTTCAGCCAAATCGAAAGACCCCGAAAATTTGCTGCTGAAATCGATATATGCTGCTGAAATGTTAACGGATCGTTAACTCGGTAACGGTGCACAATACCACCCCAAAGAGGTACATTTTTGAAATCAGCGCATCGAGGAGGCCCTGTATACTGGTTTCAGCCAAATCGAAAGACCCCACCGTTTCCCGTTAAAATGTTAATTGGTCGTTAACTCGTTAACGGTGCAAAATACCACCCGAAAGCGGCACATTTTCGGAATCAGCGCATCGAGGAGACCCTGTACACCGATTTTAAGCCAAATCGAAAGACCCCGAAAATTTGCTGCTGAAATCCATATATGCTATTGAAATGTTAACGGATCGTTAACTCGTTAACGGTGCAAAATACCATCCCAAAGA